ATAAATTGGGATTCTTACGGAATCAGTCAATTAATCAGGCTTTAAATTTTTTCGTGAGTTGTGCGACTTTTATTCATTGGCAGGTAAGTTCAGAGTTTTTCTCACAATACGACAAGTTTCTAGTAAAACTGACTTTTGCATTGTTGTGAAGATATTTTTGTCAGTGATGTTTATTTGTTTTAGGTACGACTCCAACTTCTTCGAAACCAGACTAGTAGCTGAAATTACTATGGGAATTATGGTAATACATTTTAGTTTATGTATACTTTTATATTCTTCGGCCAATTCGAAGTATTTATTATTTTTTTCCTTTTCTGCTTTTTCTAGATTATGATCGTTGGGGTGCGTGATGTCGATGAAGAAGCCCACTTTCTCCTTTTTTCTTACAAAGACGATGTCAGGTCTATTGCTGGATACTGGTTTGTCGGTCTGTATTGGCGTATCCCAGTACAGAAGGTATGTATCACTTTCTAGGACCGGGAATGGAACATACTTAAAATATTGTTCAGCTTTTTCTTGAAACTTGCACATAACTGCCAGATGCTGATGAACTATGTTGGCCGTTAAGTTATGACGCTTTAGGTATTCAGTAGGCGCTAATACCGTGCATCCCGATACTATGTGCTCTATTGTTTCTGAGTGGCGACGACACATTCTGCACAAGTCGTTATCGAGTCGAACTCCGTGGATAATTTGGATATGATTTCGTGTTGCGATAACGTTGTCTTGAATCGCCACCAAAAATCCCTCAGTTTCCCCCATTATTATTATTATTATTATTATTATTATTATTATTTTCGTTGTAAATTCCAGACCAGGCTATCTCGTATCTCCGACAACACGAGTCCTGACTGGCAAATATTATTATTATTATTATTATTATTATTATTATTATTATTATTATTATTATTATTATTATTATTATTATTATTATTATTATTATTATTATTATTATTATTATTATTATTATTATTATTATTATTATTATTATTATTATTATTATTATTATTATTATTATTATTATTATTATTATTATTATTATTATTATTATTATTATTATTATTATTATTATTATTATTATTATTATTATTATTATTATTATTATTATTATTATCATTATTATTATTATTATTATTATTATTATTATTATTATTATTATTATTATTATTATTATTATTATTATTATTATTATTCCCAATCTTTTTTATTAATTTACATTTTTTAAATGTTATTGTAATACTTTTAAATTCAGCGTTACTAAATACCGATATTTTGACATTAGATACACTTGCTTAAGGTACCTTTACAATTTATTGTCACTTAGCCATTTAAATCTTTTTGCTTAAAATGTATATACATGTCCAGATTTTAATAATGTTTTACATTTTATATTATTTTGACCATGTACTCGATTGTTTGGTACGGGCCGGTATCTATATTTAACTATATTTAATATTTTAAAAAATATCCTTTATTATTTACTTGCAATATTTACACCATTTAATTCTAAAATTAAACACTAGAGAGGGCTAACTTCGGCGGTAGTGCTGCCTCTATATTTCACGCACGGTCCCTATCACATACTTTGATTTGTCCCTATAGAAATATTTGACCTTGAGTTCCACCACAGAGATACTCTGAGAAAACGTAATTATTCACAGTACACGAGAACGTAGCTATTCACTGAACCTACACTGGGAAAACTACATTTCTCTTTTACATAATTATGTGTCAAATTTTATGAAATTTGCATGAATGCATTTGAAACTATTCTCGATTTAAGTAAATTATTTTTTGATTTGTAGCACTTCCGACAGAGGTTTCAAAAATACAAATTATAAAGTTTTAAACAATAGTTTATTTTACCTTGTCATAATGAACTATTAATAATTATTATTCATCGTCTTGCTCTTGCTCTACTCCTTACCCTCCTCCACGCGTCCCTTCCCCCTGTTTTTCCAAACCCTGTGTTGCTGTCTCGACAGCTATTTCATCCTCCTCCCCTTCAACCCCTTCTGGGTCTCGATCCATCTCTAATTCTTCCGGGAAAATACCTTCATTTTTGTTATAATTAAAACACTGTGTCGACTGACACGAACCACAGACAGACGAGCATTTCAGTCCGGCTTTCAAACATGAACAATTCTTCTCGCAGCCTGTCTTGCACTGACAAAAAATCATCTTCAAGAGTTCCGGGGGGGGGGCGGATCTCTTGTGGAGTGCTTGATAAAGTCGTTGTACGGAAACTTGCCTCTTCGTTTAATAATATAGCGTCTCCTGCAGGTTTCGTGCATCTTTATAGAGGATTGCTTCTTTATGAATAGTTGAAAATTATCGTCCCTTTCCTTGCTCACATCAATTAATTTTTCTAAGCCTCGAGTGACATTTGCAACATCATCCACAACTTTCTGGGCACAAAGGAAACATTTTGGAATGGAGTCCGCTTCCATTGCTGCAACAAGAGCTTTACAAAAATATATTATTGAAATGTAATAAGAATTACAACAAATTTATAGACTTTATTTTAAATCAACCAAACCTTTTCTGTTCCCCACAAACGAAAAATAAATTCTTGAAAATTCAAGAATGACGTCGAGTTTTTCACTTTAAAAACTTCTTTTTTTAACAACTTAATTGATAATGATAAAATACTATCAATATTTTACTAAAATACTATAAATAATACCGACAATAACGACTCCAAAAACAACACAGATTGTATAACAACAAAAGCAGACGATTAAGGTGAGCGCGTGGCGCGTAGGTACACGTGGTTAGGTTATGATGGAATATCATGGATCTCAGACGGAGAGCGTAAAAATGGGGGAGATAATTCTAACAAACAGTTAAGAACCACGCTCACATACGGGGATCAATTGATAGAAATGGAAAAGTGAGAATATCAGCTTCACTTAGGTCTGGGTATTAATGTTCAAAAAATTAACAGCGGGGAACAAGAAGTATTTAAAAAAAAAGTCCGGTTTTCCCCAGTGTGATCAATTTTCCCGATTTCTGGAAAATGGAGCAACTTTATAAAAAAAAATACATTCGAAAAGTAGACACTCTAAGCTTTAAAATGGTGTGCATTGAATAACAAATATAATGAAATATGAGTTTTTAATTACTGCTTGTTTCAAAGATTTCTAGAACTGCAAATAAACAAATCAATTTTGTTTTAAAACGGCAGGAAGATACTGGAAAAAAATTTCTGAGATCATTCGAGACATCTTAATATCCCATTTAAAACAAAAATGGGATAAAAAACTATTAAAAGAAAAAAAATATGAATGAATTACTATAAAGTGGTCCAAAATAGTGGGAAAACGCAACTTTGACCCCTTTTTTAATGTTCTTAACAGGAAATAACGGGCTTCAAGGCACATGGATCGATACCTATGGGTTTTTCCATTGTAATGAACTTTAAATCATTGAAAAATATCAAATTTTGACCGAGTTCTGAAAAAATTTGTCCACCCGTTTACAAGCTAATCAGCATTGCTATAGAAATAAAGCAGGGACTGAACGAGGGGACTTTTGATTGCGGTTATCTCGAAACCTGTCGAATTCCCGACAAAAATGATTGGAACCATTTTTGTAGATAAAGATAAGATCTTTCTTTTTTATCTAAACAAAAATTCTCTAATTTGCATATTGTGGAAGATATTGGCGGGAAATCAGTTTCATTATTATTATTATTATTTAACTATAAATTGTATTTATTTACCTTGCAAAACTGTGACTTTTTTCGTAGGTTCTGAATGGGGAAATACTGTTGGAAATGCATTTGCAAATAATGGTTTTCTTGTTCCTGACTGATAAACGAATTTATCCTGGAAGTGTAGTTCACAAATTTTGTAATTTTAACTTAAGTGTTCAACACCTTTTCCCAATAAGTTCTCTCTATTTGCTGCCTTAAGCCACAATTCAAGTCTAAAAAATACATACAATCATTGTACTACCATGTTATGGCAAGGTCAATTCCTATTTCACCCTCAAGGTTTCATACTTACCTCACTGGATCTTTCACAAGAGAGAACAAAATCCTTCTTTGCCACCTGTTCTTGAGGTACATCCACGATAAATACAAGTTTATCCTCCTCCTCTTTGACGCGGCATTGTTTATAAACTTAATCTTAATACGTACAATAAAGTCTTAAATTAACAACTCCACAATTAAACACATCAACAAAAACTAAAAATAAACAACTAAAAAAACGTAAAAGTTATCAGAATATTCGCTAAAAACAACCAAAAATCCAAAACGACAAATAAAGACACGACAGGAAAAAAATATTGATTTTCTAACAGCGACAGTAGTGACAGCTTTGTTCATTTGCTATAAAAGTGTGCACTGTTGCACTTCGAACAAGTAACAAATCTATGGTTCAATTTTGACAATGCTCCACCATGAAGAAGATGTGGCTTCGGTTGCTAGGTTCCTGTTTTAGCCCTATGTTTCTTTTCTGTATTGTTCTTTATCCTGTGCTTCGGCTTATTTTCTGAAAGTTTTTTTCTCAGTGTCGTTTCAGGAGGTGGAATTTAATTTTCAAGAAATAAAAAATAACAAAAACTTTAGGTCACAATAATTTTGCATCTCTACACTTAATAATAAATTTGGTTGTTTACAAAAAGGAATACAATTTACTGCTCTAATCTGTTTGTTTATAATGTGATTTTAATGCAATTCCAAAAGTCTAAATGGATTATTTGCAACCAAAAAAAGAGTTATTTCAAATAATATTTACATTGAGATGGATAAAAGAAGGATTTGCTTTTCTATTTTTTTTTTTTTTATATATATATATAACAATTAGTTGGTAATTTGTATGGCTATTTTTGAAGTTATGACAAAAAGTACCTAGTTTTCGCGAAAAAAGGATAATTTAAGAAAACAAATATTAAATATTGTGACAAATCAGATAAGACATTTTATCTTTCAGCAATAAATTTATTTACATGCATTTAACTAGATATTTCTCAATCCTGTAAAATATTAAGATAATGAACAATAAACAGTACACGTTTGGATATTGAAATACAATGAACAATTATTTGTTACTTCAATTCCATCTAAATAGTCAGTGTGGTTTTGGTGTTTAGATCAAACTGGTCGTTGGTATTTTAAGTCAGTGAGTTGTAAACATGGTTCATATAAAAAGAGTTTTAGTTCTTTATGTTGGAGGTACAATTGGTATGAAAAAAAATTACAAAGGAGGTAAGTTATGTTATTTGCAGAATATATAACTTTATTTTTTTCTTTTGTAAATTCGTTTGTTATTTAAAACATTAATATATCTACAAGTCTCTAAAAATAATCTAAATTATCAATATTTATTATTTATAATTGAGTTTTTTCGGTCATTGCATATCGTATCTTTTAAATATTGGTCAATACCTTGACTATAGATAAAATAAATAATACTACTAACCTAATAATTATGTGAAATACAAACTTGAAGACGTTTTAAAAAATTTAAAAGTATTGCTCTTCTGGAACATTATTTTATTTTTTAAATATCTTATACGGGATGAGACAAAAAAAAAACAGTACAGTTAAATCAGCCTCAAAACTCAAAACTTAAAAGTAAAAAAAAGATAAAGCAACAAACAATACTGTCAAAACAACATTTATAATGATACAAGAAAACAGTAAGGAATTATTACATTGTTTTTTATTTGTTTATTATTTTATTTTTACTCTTTGAGACGAGGGAACCGAATTTCTCGAAAATAATATATACTCCATGAGAATACGCAATAATAGCATTTATTGGTAACATGATAACATGAATTGTGTAAACTCAAACAAATGTGATTTTATTCATGTTTGCAGGGTCCCCGTAAAGGGTGCTGGCGCATGTGTGCAAAAAATAATTTTGGCGCCCCTTAAGGCATTTTGGATCATGTTTTTCTATTTACTTTTTTGAAGGTAGGTAGGTGCGTGAAATAATGCATAAAACTGAACTTTAGAAGTAATATTTATTTGTAGACTAAAATATCAAAATTAAATAAACAGATTAAAATCATAACAAAATAAATTAAAATAAATTCTTGTTCACACCAATTTTAAAGCTTTTGCTTAACTTGTTTATACATACTAAAAAATAACCCAAAACTAAAAATCACATTTTTTTAGGAACAAATAACGAAAATATTGTCTAATATCTACATATATATTGTTATGATTTTATTTATTTAATTTTCATAATCGTTGATTATTAAATGTCCTTTAGGACCTGTCACTTTGACTCGACTCTTTTGATATACAGGTCGTAATCATAATTCAATTCATTACTCAAAAAAAAAATACTGGGTGATACACCTAGGATAAAGTTGAATTTTAAAATGTATCATACATTTTGATTAATAATAAATTGTGACTTTGAACAACATTATAAATTCCCCAAATTTTGTGTTAATTAAAATTTTCCACCTGGAAACATTTTAATTACACCAAAATTTTACTATAGACGTTAGTTTTAATATATTGACATTATTTAAAGAACATTTTTGTTTTATCGAACCAAAGTTCAGATATCTTGCAAATTTGCATAGAATACACATTAACTCATTTTATGTGGGTAAGTTATTTTTCATAAAATATTTAACATAATTACTTTTTAAATAATTGATATTAGTGTCAATCTTCATATCTGTATAATTGTGAAATATTAAACACCCCTCGAATTTTATCACTATTTATTTCTTTTAATAAATAACTGCTAATTGGAGATTCATTTAACTATTTCATAAGGTCCATCATAGGGCAATTTCAGTTTGGAACATTTATTATTTTTCTTATCTGCAACTTGTAAAGATCTAATTAAAACCAATTCTCCTTGCTTGTATTGTACTCTGGCCTTTATTTTTTTAGCTTGTTTATTAATATACTTTTCGCTTTTTTTATTCTTGCATATACCTGACACATTATTTCTTCTTTGTTTTTAACTCTGGTAATATTCCACTTTCTATCTGCATTAATCCCTTTTAACAAAAATATTGGGTTTTCAATTTCATGTAGCTGCTGATCCCATATAGTATGATCCATGTGAGTTAAAATACGTAAGTATTTCATTATTTCTCTTATATAACGTTCTGCTGGATTTGTCTAATGCTGGTAAATTGAGGTCTAATATTGTCTTTTAAAAACTTCTTAAATCTATCGTTTTGAAAATAGGTTGGATTATCCAGTATGCATTTTGAAGGTTTACCAACCTCCAGAAAATATTGTGATAATATTACTTTAAGTGTTTTTGTATTGGTTCTGTCACAAGGAAAGAATTTTATGTATTTTGAATAAACATCTATGATTACCAGTAAATGTTTATTTCCATTGATACTTGTTGTTAAATTAGAAAGAAAATCTATGGCCATTATTTCCAAAGGTTTTGTTGGTACTATTGATTTTGTTGATATAAGCCAGTTGACATATTTGACATTTTGATATTAATTGTTTTAGTAATTTTATATCATTTTTACTATAGTAATTTTCTCTGAATATCAACCATGTTTTTCTTATACCTATGTGTCCGAAATATACATGAATATCTTGACAAATTTCTTTTGCAAGTTGATTTGTTATTACATATAATTCTTCTTCCTGTAATTGTTTGTAGAAAATATTATCTTTAGTTAATGACCTCTGTTTTTCAAAGTTAATTAGATTTTTTTGATCTAGAAGTATGTTCTGTAAGGAATAAAGTCCTGTCTGATCTTTCATGACATTTATCCCAATTATTATTTTAAATTGCACCTTCTAGCCTGGTGATCGAGTCAGGTACTCAATTCATCTTTCCTGGCACATATTTTATATCAAAATCATATTCCTGTAATAGAAGTGCCATTCTATGGATACGACTGTTGTCCAAATTTGTTATTTAACATAGATGTGAGTCCTTGATTGTCTGTTTCGATAAAAAAATGTATTTCCCAATAAGTAAAAACGTAATTTTGCTCACGCTGTAATTTTTCCCATGAGTCTTGGTTGTACGGGATACAAAACAAACTGGAACTTCTTTTTCGTCATATCGCTGTACGAGGACTCTAGCAAATCTTTGCTTCTATGCATCAGTCTTCAATATGAAAGGCATTTCATACCGTGGATGATAAATCGTTAAATTTTCTAAAAAAGTTTCTTTTATAGTTATAAACGCTTGCTCGTGTTCTATGTTCCATTTCTATCTGACTCTTTTTTTAAGCAGCTCTAGTAACGGTATTTCTAATTCGCTCAAATTTGGAATTAACTTTTTATAGTAATTCAGGGTTCCTAGGAAACCTCTAAGTTTTTAAATTACTTGGTCTATTGTATTCTTTAATAACTTTAATCCTCTTAGGATCTAATTGTATTCCTTCTTCATTTATTAAATAACCTAAATATGCAACCTCTTTCTTGATAAATTCACATTTTTCTATATTTATTTTCAGCCCTGCTTGATCCAGTTCCTTAAAAACAATATTTATTTTTTTCTAGTGTTCTAAAACATTATTAGAATAATTCAAGATATCATCAATTTAATGCAATACGAAATGTTCGTATTTATTAAAAATTTTGTGAAGAACTCTAACCAATGAGGCACACGCGCTCTGCAGACCAAATGGTATTACATTGAAATGATAAACTACACCATCTATGGAGAATCCAGTATACTGGCGACAACTTTTTTCCAGTGGAATAAAAAGAATGTTTAAGATCAATTTTGGAAAATATTGTTGATTTTGTTATGCTTCCTAAAATCGCATCAATATTGATTGTGGAATAGTAAATTTATTAATCATTCTAGCATCGAAACATATTCGTATATCTCCATTTTTCTTCATAACAATGACTAGTGGATTAATATATTAAGTTAAACTGTGCTCTATAATGCCTTTTTTAAGTAATTCTTATATTTCTTTATTAACTTCATTCTTAAATTTATATGGTATTGGATATGTTTTAACTCTGAAATTATTTATATCTTTAACTTCTATCTTATGTACATAATTGGACGCAACTCTCATTTCTTTACTTATTAACTTTTCATATTTCGTAATCATTATTCTAATTTTATTATAAAATTTTTCCTCACAATCTATCTTGATTTCAGACAAACTTTCATCCTCTTTCTTAATTTCAAAAGATTCTTTTTTTCTGTACATAAATTTAAAACAGCTTTATTATTCCTTTCAATTTCTTCATCACTTTTCTTCTCAAAGTTATTCCATGTTTCTTGTATATACACTTTCCCCATTTCATAATCCACTATGCAATCATACTTGCTTAACATATCCGATCCTATTACCATATCAGTAACAATATCAGGCACTACCAGTAACTCAACATTGATCTGTTTATCATTAAAAGAAACATTAATATCTACCATTTTATTGGCATTATACAATTTTTTACTATTTGCACCAATTAAGTTAATTTTAGGAATTTTCTTTGATTTTTATATTATTCTTAATTATTTTATTGTTTATCAAATATGCTTCTGATCCCGAGTCTATTAAAATATCAACACTGTTCCCCATTAAATTTCCTTTGATAATAACCAAATTATATTTAGATTCATTTTGCAAATCGTCATCTAATGTGATGAATTCTCGAGGGTGTTCATAGTTACAAATATACAAATTATGATTTGTAGAGCGCATATTCAAAAATTTTGATCGTCAGTTTCTTGTGGTAATCCATCAAATGATGAATTTCTTCTTATATATCTTGTACTACCTTCTCTCTGTTCTTCATTTGTAATTCTTTCTCTGTCTAGACTATTATTTCTACTCTCTCTTCTTTGAAAATTCACTCTTCTTTCTTCTCTCTCCTCTTTCATTGGCATGTACATAATTGTAATTATTATTTGCAATATTAGAGTTACGATAATTATTGTTTCTGTAGTTAGAATTGTTATTATTATAATTATTTTTAAATCTGTTATTATATCTGTTGAAATTATTATTAGGAAAGTTATAATTATTATTTCTAAATGTACTGTATTGTCGGCTATTTTGATAATTAGGTTGATGCTCATTTGTTCTTGTTATTTGGTTATCAAATTTATTATTATTCTTATAGTGGTATTTTTTAGTGTTTAAATTTCTCTCCATTCTTACTAAATAACTTGAAAATTGCTCAAAATTTTTAATATTTTGAATAGCAATTGTTTCAGCTACTTCTATTTTATAATGACGGGATATAGACAATATTATTTCTTCCTCTAACAAAGGAGGATCCAAAAATTTTCCCGATGTAAACAATTGTAATGCATAATGATTTAAATTATTACTTCTAGTATAATTGAATTTACCAAAATAAAGTTTTTCTCGAACTGATGCTTGAAGGCTTTCTCCCCAAAAATAATTTAGAAACAGTTCTACAATTTTTTCAAAATTATTTACCTCAAACGCTTCGCTTGTATACCATAATAAAGCATTTTCTGATAATTCTGCTCTCATGGTTTCTTTTAAATCATCAATATTATTTATAAGTAAAATTTTATTTTTCAAAATTTGCACCATTACTTTCGGATGCAATTTATTGATGTCACCATCAAATTTTGTGATGTTGTCTGCTCCACTCGTCGTCATAACAATCTGACTTTTTCCCACATTGTTTTCAATTGCCTTTCTATATTCTCGTTCTTGTTGTAAGTTTCTGTCCATTTCTTGGATTTTCCCTTTCGTGTTGTTTATTTCAGAAGTGATAATCTCCTTATGTAATTTGAATCCTTCTTTAATATGTTCTTTCAAATTTTTGAGTTGTTTCCCATTTATTTCTAAGTCTTTCTTTATTAATCTAATATCTTGTTCTGTCTCTTTTCTTGTTTTCCTATTTTCCTCTTCTGTTATTTTCAAGTTTTCTTGTACTACTTTTTCCATCCTTTTTTTTAACAAACCTATATTTTTACTGTTAATTGTTACACTTCTTTCTATTATTTCAACTTCATTATTTGTCTGTTTTATCTTGGAATCTTGTACTGTCAATGTTTGTTCCATAATCTTCTGTTTTGTTTCCATTAAGTTAAACTTCTTTTCCATTCTTTCAACTCCGTCTTTAATTTCATCTTTAATGTCTCGTTTCATTTTTTCTTGCCCTTTTTTTCTTTTCTTTATTTCTTTCATCATCATCTCCATCATTTTCATTATAGGATTTTCCTCTACTTTTTCTGGAGTTACTTCAATGTCCTGATTTATCGGTTGTGTATCTTCTTGTTTTATTTCTTCTTCAGTACTTTTTCAAATCGTTTTTCAAGGAACTTCTTTAATTTCAGTCTCTTCTATATCTTTTAAACTTTTTACACTTTCAATTTGTTCTAGAAAGATGTACGTTCGAGGATCTTTTCCTTCTTTTATCAAAATCTCTTGAAGGGTTTTTAATAATTCTTTCTTCGATCCAATCGCTTCCTGACCTCTTCTTTGCAATTCTTCCTTTACCTCAATCATTTTTAATTCAGTCATCTTCTTTCCCGTAACTTGTTCCATTTTCTTGGTTTTTCTTGTTTGTCTGTAATTACTTATTAATAAGAAACTATCACTCTGTCACACTTTAATATTATAAATTACTCAAATTAATATCGTATACACAAACACTTCAAATACGATACACAAAAAAAATTAATTATTTACACGACATATTTACAAATTTCCCCACGTTGGCTAGCGATATTGTTGTTATGATTTTATTTATTTAATTTTCATAATTGTTGATTTGATTGGTTGTAATTTTTTTTATAACTTTAACTTTCTATTTTTTTTATTTTATTTTTTTGTTTTTTTTTTTTTAAATATACAAATAATTCAACTTATTTTATTTATTTATTTCATTTTTTCTTCATTTTATATTGGGCGCCTTGATTATAGATTAATAAATTTATTATAATTATACAAATTATAAATTGTTACTTATACCTCATCTGTTCAAAGTAACAAAAGAAAACTCTTATCTCAGTAGTGGTTTCAAATATGTTAATTTGGAATGATAAAATAGTAAATCATTCACATTATTGAAATTTAAATGATTAATGAACATAAACTTTGATTACACCCTATATGTACTGAAAAACAACCATCCCCTGTTTATTATAATGTTTAGTACAACACCTTGTATATTGAAATTTTATTCCACAAACTTGAAAATGTCCCAATTCACTGTAAAATATCACATTACGATTAATTACTCATTTTAATAAAACTGTGACAGATGTTACAATATATATAAATATTTCGTTTTAGTGTTATGTCCAACTCCGAACGCATTTTTTAATGAAGTCAAGTCACATCCTGAAATGCACGATTCTTATTGGGTGAACGAAAATCCTGACAAATTATTAGAAGCAAATGAATTAGCACTACCTAGGTAAGTAATAATCTTTAATTAAAATGGTGATGGATGATTTTCTAACTATTCTTCTAGAAATTGTATACGTATTCTAAATATCAATAGTGTTACAAAATATCAACTATATTTCGCATGTTTTACAGATTTTTTTAACTATATATGCCCATATCATAAAAATTGTGCAAAAATTCGTAAAAATGTATTATAATCGAATTAAATTACGGGTTTTGAGCTTACATTAAATTGTAATTAGATGAAACAAAATGGATTCTATGTTTTTTGAGGTGATCTTTTCGAAAAAAGGCAAAACAAAATGTAGCAGTTTTTCGAAAGTGCCGAAATTTTGGATTTTGTCAATTTTGCGCAGGCGCATGTCGGAAATAAATCAATATTTTTAAAACGCAGTTTGCGACATTTGAAATCTTAGGAAAAATGCTAATTTTTATGTCTCTTGAGAAATTTTGATCCGATGCACCATTCTCGCGGTATGGACGATTGAAATTTGTTTAGTATTTTGAGGCGACGAAAGTCGAAAAATTGAATTTGTTAAATGTTCAAACACTAAATTCTTTATAACATTGTTAAAAATTAAGATATTTGAAAAAACAAAAATTCGTTTTGAATTTAAGGGATGTGACTAGTGATTCCCAGAAGGGGGCAAGAGAAATCCCAAAATTGGGCATATGACGGAAGGGCAAAATGCACCGCGGTCCTAATTTCATTGTTTGCCTATAACGGCCAAACTATTTGAATTTTTTTAATGCTACTTACAAAGCTTACTCTTAAATGTGAAATCTTATGTGTGTGTGAATTTCACCGATATCGGACCATAATTGGCTAAGATATCAAACAATTAAATAATTTCATAAAAAAAAAATTTTTTTTTTCGAAAGTTTGAAGTGGCACAAAAATGCCAAAAATGCACCCAATGGCTCAAAACTTTTTTTTTGAGTACTCTATTGTGTCTAGAATACGATTACATTACGGAAAATTCTGCAAATATATTTTATCTAATTTTTTGACCACTGTTCATTGAGTGACGACCAAAAAACACGGTTTTTGAGAAAAGTTGCCTAAAATTGACAATTTTTAGTTTTTTTGTCTGAAAATTAAACAAACACAAATTTCATGTCTTCTTAATGTGTATACAAAGTTTAAAGTGTGTATGTTTCTTCTAAGTTGTAGAATTCTCCTGACAAAAGTCCCATTACACGCGCTCCGCGGGATCCAAAACTCGTGTATACACTACATTACTGTAATTTGATTTTTTTGCGTTTTCCAGTTTTAAATTTCTTACATATCTAAACTTATTAGGCTTAAAAGTTATTAAATTGTATTTTACTGACTTGTTATAAGACGTTTCTTGAGTGTTGTGCAAAATATAGAATTACCAGATATTAGCGAACAAAAAGCAAGCTTATCACCAAGTTGGAACTTACACTTAGGCTTAGGATTAATTTCCTAACATTTTTAAAGTATACCTATTTGTGTATTTTTTTGTGCTCTTTTCGATGGCGAAGTTAGTTTTTCAAATATATTTTTTTTGTTAGATGTTTTCGGAAAACCCGGAAAAAATCATATGGGAAAAAAATTTAAAAAAAACTACGCCTCTGGTTTCCTGCGAATTCCCGAAAAATTATGTCAGATTTCGCCGCGGGACTTATTTTATTTGAGAGCCAACAAAAAAATACGCAACTTCTCTCATGGGCACATATGTCTAACATTTATAATTTCGCCACAAATTCATCGCAAATTTCATGTCCATGGTTCTGATCAAAAAAACGAAAAAACGACTTTTTGGTAAAAGCACTTCTGGCGGCGAGAAATTCGCCATTAAAACTACCTGTGCAATGAATTTCCGAATTATTTTTGCCTCCTCTTTCGAATGGTGCATTTATTTTCACTATTGGAATGATACTTGCCCAGATAATTAGCATTTTTACAATGGAAAATTCTGGAAAACCCGGTTTTTCCTAATTTAAAAAAAATTGAAAAACTGCTACATCTTTTTTTTCTTTTTTTCGAAAAGATCACATCAAAATACACAAGGTCCTTTTTGTTTCATCCAATTACAAATTAATGTAAGCTAGAAGGGGCTTTTTTTCGTTATTTAATTGGATTATTAGTGATTATTACTAGATAAATTATTAAGGATTGTATCGGTTCTCAAATCATAATTTCATCTTAAATAATAAAAGAGATAATTAAAACTATTTCGAAGCTAGATCAAATCAATTTTGTAGCGGATAAAGCAGTCCACTATCCAGTTGTGTAACTTGTTACTGTTTAAATTTATATAGATTGGTAGTACAAGAATTTTTTTACTTTTCAAACATGTATTTTAAAAATTGTACTAATTGTTTATTTTAATATTACTGACATAATAGGTATATATTTCGTCAAAAATGAAATGCGATAATCTTATTGAGACGTGATATTTTTATAGTGTTAATATAACAAGAAATATCTGTAAAACTTTATTTCAGCTTGTATCTCAAGTTACAGTTTTTTAGTTTTTTAAAAGTTTTGAACATTTATTTTATAGTATAGTTGTTAGAAGTTAATAAATGTATGTTTTGATGTATTTATAGAAATTATGATCCACAGCAAATTACTTATCAAATAGTAGAGTACAGCCCATTGTTAGATTCCAGTAATATGACTTGCAAAGACTGGATTAGATTAGCCAGCGATATAGAGGTAAATATAATTAAATTGTATTTTAACATTAGACTGTATTTGTGTTCCAATTAATTGTTATAGATTACTCTGCACAACAGTATTTCTGATGATTTAGTTATATTACATGACACTAGCTTAATTTTTAATCTGTAATCTAAATTTCTGTATTAGCTCTAGTTTAGAAAATATGATACATGGCCGTTTCATAGTAAAACACAATTTGTTTAAAGTTAATCATATTTTATTTAGCTCTTAAGGTGACAAAAACTTTCTTTTATAAGACCTCCTTGCAGAGATTGAACCCATAAAACTATTCTGAATGCTCCAACAATAGTCAACTATCATGTGTGCGTTCCAGTAGCCTTGATACCGTTTCTCCATCGTACGAAGATCCTGGTGGAATCGCTCGCCCTGTTCTTCACTTAGATCCCCAAGATTAGCGGGAAAATAATCTAGGTGGTTGTAAAGAAAGTGCAACTTGATGCTCATGTTTAGACCTAGGAATATATGCACCCAAAAAGTAGATAAATATGCGCATATATATGCCGCAAAATACTTCAATATATGCGTAAAAAATGGAAAAATATGCAGCGCAATAAGAGTAATTTTTTATTTGATCGAAATAATTTATTAATATTTATTATTTGTTTTATTTTACAATACCTAATATAATACTTAATAATTATTTAATTAACTAATTTTATTTACAAATCAAAATTATTATAAAACGAATGAACAATTAGATGGTTTTCTAAATTATCTGTATTAAATGATTGTCTCCTATCAGTAAGTATGTACTTGTACAAAGAAAAACTCCTTTCGACATCTACAGAAGTAATAGGTGCAATCTTAAATTTTCCTGAAATATCTGGATGAATAGTACTAATATCTTCAAAGTTACCAGAATAAATATTAGCAAGGTTTCTTAAAACAATAAATCCTTCATTTTTAAAATTACATTTGAAAATTTATGAAAAATCGTCTTTCCAATATCGCCCTTGATATTTTTACACTCTGATTCAAACGTCTTAATTAAATTTACGGAAGTCACCACAGGTAAATTTTTTTGTTCTAAATCTAATATAATTTTGGGTACAAATGCATAATTTTTTAAAAACAATAATTGCTTTGGTAATATGTGATTTTGAAACTTTTAGATTTTAAATATTATACCGTATCAAGACAAGGCACGTAGTTACTCTTCGCCCGAATAAGAATAACTACTTGGACATGTCAAACGGAATACGTCTATATTATCTAGTGCCATATATGCACAGTGGCGCGCTAACACGGCCATCCTGAAATTGGGACGCTCTCGGCCCAATAATAATTATAACTCGATTTATAAGAATAATATTAGCTTTATTCCTAAAACATTTACAATAACGTAACTATAATAACTTATTAAGACGACTCGGCTTCATCCTGACGATTATCGTTCTGAAACAAAAGAAATCCCTATCAACAGAGGTTTTCTTTGTAGAAATATAAAATTCCTCATGACACTTCAAGGTTAAAATAACCGACCAGCAAATCATAATGTGACATTAAGGTCCAAGCACTCCAAGGCAGAAACGTTGCCGGCCCGAAAACCAAAATGTACATCAAGATCCAGGTACCCCAAGGTTAAAATAACCCGTCATATTTCTTTGCAATCAACACACAACCATAATATATCATTAAGGTCCAAGCACCCCAAGGCATAAACGTTGCCGGCCAGAAAACCAAAATGTATATTAAGGTCAAATTACTATGAACATCTGAAACTAGATAGTCGATCAGAAAACCAAAATGTTAACATCAAGGTCCAAGCACCCCAAGGCATAATCGTTGCCGGCCAGAAAACCAAGATGGTCCAGGCACCCCAAGGCATAATCGTTGCCGGCCAGAAAACCAAAATGGTCCAAGCACCCCAAGGCATAATCGTTGCCGGCCAGAAAACCAAGATGCAACATGAAGGTCCAGATACTCCAGGACTAAATAATTTCCATCGCTAACACGGCAAATTAATACAGTAATAAACATACCTTGACATTTTCATCCATATCAAAATAACTTTCTAATATCTCTGCGCATTCGTTCGGGAACCATTCTTTGGTCCATAGCCGCATTTGACTTGGAACAGCTACTGTCATTCGTATGGACTCGGAAACGTCGTCAACTCTTCGAAGTTCATATCTGCTATTTGGTAATTTTTTTGTTATTTTATAAGGTCCTACCCAACCAGATTCCAACTTTTTGGGTTTTAAAGCTTCTCTTGAAATCAAAACAAAATCTCCCACATTATATGATTTTGTGGAAGTTGATGAGTTCCTTTTAGCGTAGTTATCCTGAGCAGTTGCGTTTTCTGAGAGACGTCTATTAACAAACTGTCTCCATTTTTCACGTTCCATTGTGACTAGCGGTAATTTATCATCTGAGGCATTTTCAATGATCCGGCTTATCTCTGGTAGCCTGTTGTCACAACCAAAGAGAATTTGAAGTGGTGTCCTCTTAGTTGTCTTGTGAACTGTTGAATTGATTACCAGTTGAATTCTAGATACCATCGAACTCCATTGAACGGTACAGTCGGCCTGAACTCTTAGCAAGTTAGAAACAAATCGCATGTAACGTTCCACTTGCCCATTGGATTGGTGTACATAGGGCGTAATGAAATGCCACTCGATGTCCCATTCGAGATTATTTTGAATGGCTTTTAAAGAAGAAGCATTGTCTGTGATAATACGAGCTGGAGTGCCAACCAAAAACACAATATCCTGTACGCAATCGGCCAAATCTTCAGTTTTCAAGCTCTTAACAGCATATAAAAATGTATATTTTGAGTATGCATCGACTGCTATAAACACATGAGTGAACCCTTCTTCAGTTTTCGGCAAAGGTCCAAGAAGATCGACATGAATGGTATGAAAAGGGATATCTATCTTCGGAATGGAGTGAATTTCGTTGAAAACTCGACGAGGCTGGCGCTTTCGGGTAAGGCAGGTGAGGCATGAGTCAATATATTTTTTTACAAATTGACGCATTCGAGGAAACCAAAAATGTGAAGCTATACTTAAAATGGTTTTATCCAGACCAACATGAGCTTGCCCATCGTGATATTCCTTAATTAACGAATACCTGGCATTTTTGGGAACAAAATATTGAGTAACTTTTTCGGAATTAATATTACTCAAATGACACAGGGTACTTCCAATAATACAAAACTGATTTTTATCTATTTCACCATTTTGTAATTTTTGCTTTAATTCGGTTGTTTCGCTATCTGTACTTTGTTGAATAAATAACCACCCAGACGGCATTAAGTTTTGACTACTTGAGTCTATTTCTTCGACAAATGGTATTTCAGAAATTTTGGTAATACAAACGCTTTTAAAAGTATCTTGACTTGGAATTGGTGGGTTTCGACTCAAATAATCAACATAAGCCATCTGGTCTCCAGATTTATGTAAAATAGTAAATTCAAAATCCTGAAGGTAAATCCACCAACGACTTACCCTTGGCACAAGGTTACGTTTATGTTGCGAATTTTTTAGAGCATTGCAATCAGTGACCAATGTAAAAGGCACACCTACAAAATAATGTCTAAAATGTTTTAAAGCATTTACTACCGCCAAAGTTTCAAGTTCGTATGAATGATATCGAGATTCCACATCTGTGGCTGCTTTGCTGAAATAGGATACTACTTTTTTTTTACCATCATGATTTTGAAAAACAATAGCTCCAAACCCATGACTACTAGCATCAGTATGGAGTTCTAATGGTAGATTTGGATTAAAAATTGCCAACACAGGTTCTTCAGAAAGAATTTTAACAACTTCATCAAAAGCTTTTGAATGTTCATTAGTCCAAGTCCAAGTTGAATCTTTCTTTAAAAGATTTGATAGTATTTTTGTTTTAACAGAAAATTGTGGTATGAATTTTCTGAAATAACCAGCGAGTCCCAAAAATTGACGAACCTCCCTGACATTATTTGGATGTTTCATCAATTTCAAGGTCTCTGTTTTAGAAGGACTTGGTTTAACAATCCCGTTTACTATTAAACGACCCAAATATTCAACTTGTTCTTGAAGAAATTTGCATTTATTTATTTTTATGTAAAAACCATGGGACTTTAATGTTGTTAAAACTAACCGTAAATGTTCAAGACCTTGTTGCTTTGTTTCTGACGGAATAAGGATATCATCCATATAAACCAACGCAATACCCTTTAGAATTTCCGCCTGTAGAGCAGTGTTGATTGCTCGCTGGAAAATAGAGGGGGCATTAGCCAAACCAAAGGGCATTCGTAAATATTCAAATTGGCCATCTGGAGTAACAAAAGCAAGTTTTTCTACTGAATCAGGATGTACTTTAATTTGATGGAACCCAGCGGCCATGTCAAGAGTAGTGAAATATTTTTTATTACTTAGCTGATCGATTTGATCATCAATTCGGGGAAGAGGATACCGATCTTTTACTGTGATTCGATTGAGCGCACGAAAATCACAAACCAAACGAGAATCCCCATTTTTCTTCTTGACAAGGAAGGCAGGGCTTGCGTAAGGGGAATTAGACGGCCTTATAATTTCGTTTTTAATTAAATCGTCGATAAGATTTCGTACAGTCTCTCTTTCCACCATTGAGAATCGATAAGGGCGAAATTTGATCTCTGTATCAGATGTGAGACGAATTTTAAATTCCCCTGTTGTGATAGGAGTGGGTATCTTATTTCCAGAAGAAGAAATGTCGTTAAATTCTAGAAGTAACTCTTCCAATTGCTTTTCAACGAGATTTGAAGGAACATATTCCAAAATAGGTGAACTTTGAGTAAATTTTAAAGACATTCCAGGAATGTTTATAAAATCCAAACCAATTATTGCATCACAAGGAATATAATCATTTGAAACAATATGCATTTTAAGAGGAAATTTAAATTCTTTTTTAAGATTTATTTCAACATTGACTACACTCTTAGACGTAAAGGTGCGGTTACCAACGCCTTTAATAGTCATATGTTCGTAAATTGGCAAAGAATACAT